GGGCAGAGTATAGGTAAGAAATGAAGAAGCAAAGGAGAGAAGTATGAATGGATATAAATTATAGGAAACTGGAAGGGAAGATGAAGCAAGCTGTATAAAGGACAGTATGATGATAATATAGCAACTACATGGCATTGCATCTTCATAGTTACCACCATGACAGCCTTCAATCTCAGACACACATAATAAGCCAACATTTTTTTACAGTGATGCAAGTGACATAACACACAGCTCTCATCAGTTACATAATAAAGTGTCAAAGAAATAGTAAAATTCAGAGGACATAAATATCTGGGCTTGTGTTTCAGTTTTTAGTTTCTTTCACATCAAACTGCATAAGATGGGTCAGTAAGGAATTGATCATAGTCTCAGCGATGGCACTAAGGCCTAGAGACACAGGGAAGCCATGAAAATTCCTGTTCAGGATGTCCACAGTGAGAAGCCAGCGTCTAACCACCTGAGCTATGAAATGTCCATTTACCACTGCAATTTAGATTATTACTAGCAGAAGCTTTATGTATGTCATCCCAAATATTCTACAGTGAGATGCTGAGGTCGGAAGGTATGACCATAGACTGGAATTAAGGAAATTTTGAGGCTGAAGAGCCAGCGCTGACCATAAAAGTAGAACAAGCTATCAAAAAATTGAAAAATAATAAAGCTCCAGGAATGGATCTCATCACAACAGAATTAGTGAAATTTGCAGGCCCAGAATATGCTAAGCACTTACATCAGCTAATAGTTAAGATATGGATAACTGAAATAATCCCAGAGGAATGGAACCTAAGTACTGTATGCCCTATCCATAAGAAAGGCGATGTCATGGTATGCTCTAACTATAGAGGAATTAGGCTGTTGTGTATAGCATATAAAATATTTTCCAACATTCTATTTAACAGACTCTCTCCCTTTGTGGAAAGAATAATTGGGGATTACCAATGTGGGTTTCGTCAAGGAAGATCAACTAACGATCAGATTTTCACTATTTGCCAGGTCCTTGAAAAGTGTAATGAATTCCAAACTGAAACACATCATCTTTTCATTGATTTCCGATCAGCCTATGACTCCATAGATAGAAATAGTCTTTTTCTGGCAATGGAAGAGATGCACATTCCGTGGAAGTTAATTGCCTTAGTCAGAGCCACTATGAGAAAGACCCAATACCAAATTAAGATTCAGAATATGTTGTCCAGCCCAATAAAAACTAGAAATGGAGTTCGACAAGGTGATTCCCTAGCCTGCCTTTTGTTCAATATAGCATTAGAGAAGGTAGTTAGAGATGCAGGCATCAACACAAGGGGAACTATATTCTATAAGTCAGTTCAAATTTTGGCATTTGCAGATGATATTAGATGGTTAGTTAGTTAGTCTGTTTATTTACTTTTCATTTCCACCCTCACCCCTACTAGCTAGAAATTAATTTTGAAAAAATTAAAAAAGAGAAGACACTTTGTTTAGAAAAATACAAAACTCCTGACACCTCTTTTTTCTACATGCGAACTACTAGAGAAGATGTCAAAGGACCTACAGAGCAAAGATTCAGCATATGAAGATGATGTGGCAGTAAATTTGTTGGTGTCGGCGGCAGAAGGCTTCCAACAGTGGATATGTAAGGAAAAATTATGATTCTGCATGTTTTCCAACAGAGGATGGGAAAGGGTTAATAAAAACAGATTAATAACTTGGTTTCAGTCCATGCTGTACAGTTCCTAACTTCAACCCAGTCACTTACCCCTTATGTCCGATTCAGAGGAACACAAAGACTAGCAGCAACAAGGGAACATCACTTGACTGGTGGGGCTAATGCAGACGAGAGGGACACGAGAGAGCGTGGTGAAAACACATGCACCAGTGAGTCCCAGCCACAGTCTGCAATCTGACCTGCCACATGGTCATTAAAATCTAGCCCATACACAAACTCAGAATGATGCTTCACTGTTTCCAGTGGATCTGGTGATGCCTTGAAGTCCCAGATCCTGCAAACAAATGTTTCATTAAAGTATAGCACATGCTGAACGATACATCTGTTTCATTACGGCATTTTATTAAAGCTTCACAATGCAGAGACAAAAAGGATTCTTGGTGAACTTAACACTAAACAGGTTTTTCATCACCAATTATCCTTGCACAAATGCTCCATACTCATCTATTGCGAGAGGGTAGTACAAATGGGCCCATTTGAGATTGCATCTCATTCTGCTCCTATAGCTTAAAAGAAAGGAATGTTCTTTTTTTTTTGTATTGCTAGTGGGGTTGGACTAAGTCCCTTGTACTGCGGCCACTTCTACCAGCCCCAGATGATAGGTGAGGGTGATTGTGGAGCAATTGGTGGAATGAAGATTGGAAGGGGAAACCGAAGTACTCGGAGAAAACCTGCCCCAGTGCCACTTTGCCTACCACAAATCCCACTTGACCAGACCCCGGGATCGAACCCTGGCCATTGCGGTGGGAAGCCAGCGACTAACCGCTTGAGCTATGGCACGGCCTTAGGAATGCTCTTACTTTCAAAATGTGTTCCTTGTATGGATCTCAATAAGGGGCATTAAAAAAAAAGTACAAATGAGAAAGGAAAAAGTCAAAAATGTGTTTCCTAACATAAGTCCCAGCATACAGAATCGAGAATCATAAAATAATGAAGATATATTAAAATTCTGGAGCCCAGAATGAAAATGTGTCATGCAGAGATGGACCTTACAGCATGGACCCCAACATAATTTCATCCTGATATATCAAATGATCCCAAAACTTGACTGATTCACCATCTAAGTCAACCTAATATTCACATCCACTTCCCCACATTTGCTGCTTCAACATTTAAGCATTCTACATGTAGACATACCTTGTTGTGAAGTCATAAGACACAGACGCCAAAACTGAGAGATTGTGCGGGGAGAAACGGACTCTGCGAACTGCATACTCACAGCCCTGCAATTCATTAATCACATACTTACTTAATGATTTATGGAGTGAGAATTACAGTGAACCTAATATGTTTAACCTTTCGAAGCGAGAAGTTCATCCAAATAACATTTAAAAAAATCTGTTCTTACCTTTCAGAAAAAACACACTACACCAGAATGACAAAGATTAATTAGTTATTTGTAGCAGTGGTAGTGGTGGTGGTGGTGGGGGGGGGCTATTTTATGACATTGCAGATATCTAGAATATGTAGCAGAAAATGGTTGGATGACTGACAAACTGGAGAAAGTCTGGAAAGTAGTGGCCATGGCCTACCCCAGACACTATCATTGTTGCTAGCTGTTACAGAGAGAACAGAAGATGGCAGGAATAAACGGCACTGGGTGGCACACACAGTTCAGTCGGTACTACAGTCTCAAACTTTGTCAGAAAATGTTAGCAGCACTACCTGTTCTAGAAAGCTGTCCTTCCAGACCTTTTCAAGTTCTCATTTCACATACTCAACAAAATCTTGAATTCAAAGCGTCCCTCTAATGCTATAGTGTATAATAATCAGGCAAAGGATCAATAGGAGAGTTCTGCATGGAAATGTACTGATCCTCCCACTGAAATTTCAACAAGCGTCATACTAGTTACAATTACAGTTCCTGTTATCTTTCTGCATCTCTTATAAGATACATGACAGGAACATAAAACACAAATAACACAAACCTTCTGTTCAAACACAGGACTTGTGATATTGCGTAAGTCCCAGCCACGAATGAGTCCATCTGAACCTCCTGTAGCCAGGATATTCTGATCATATTTGCACCAATCACAGCTCAGCACTTCAGCATCATGGGCTCGGAGTGACATGGATGGATGCTGAGGCATGTGAGTGTTCCAGACTTTCATAGTTCCATCACCTACAAAAAGAAAGGACATCAGTTTAAGTGTATTTCAAGATCTATGCAAGTTGTATGTGGTATAACAATTCTGATATGTTTCCTATATTTTTGTTTACTTATCTCAAGTCCCTGTATGATTTACTGGAAAAATGTATTATGGAAGATGCTACACCAGTACCTACCTGGGCAGACTGAGAACCATGAAAAACCTCAATCAGAATAGCCAGTCCTTGGGCCAAAATTTTAAACTCAAACCTCTGAATTACGAAGCAGGAATGCTACCCACTCAATCATAAGATTCAGTCAACAGGTGATGATTCTGGAAGAGGTGACCATGGCTTATATAAAGGAATTATATGCACGAGGGAGAGTCAGTAAATAGGTCACAAATGAAAGTAAAACAGCTGTAATGGATGTAACAGGTTTTTTATGTGTTATCACTAGGTAGCAGCACAGTCCAGCTTCACGGGAATAGGTAGAAGACCTGCATGCGCATGTTCAGAGGCTGGTTTCAGCAGTCAAAATGGCTACCATGCTTGAGGGTATATTATTGAAGAGCAGCATTCTCTTGTGCGTCTTTTGTGGGCAAAAGGACTCATTGAAAAGGATACTCTTATAGAAATGTTACCTGTTTATGGTGGGAAGTTTGTGTCACATAAAGCAGTTCATAACTGGGTGGGGTATGTTTCACTGATGATGATGATGATGATGATAATGAGGTTGCAATGGAGATGCAGAAGTAGCTGATACAACAGTCAAAATAATTCAATGCTGCAGGTTTCGACGCACTGGTAAATCAACGTGACAAGAGCATCAATATTGGTGTAGCAAATGTAACGTGTACTGAAGACACTGTTCAGATTGTTAACTGCTTTATTTAACAACCTACAGATCGTAACTACAATTATATGTCAAGAAAAAAATGTTTTTTCCAGGCTTGAATATCACATGTTTTACCTCTGATATCCATTTGTGACCTATGTACCTCGTACACTCACTTTTAGACACTGAAAAACATAACAAAATACATCCTTAATCAGGGCAACCAGTTCACTGGCCAAAATTCTAACTAGACACCCCCTGAATACAAGTCCAGATGGTCATCACACACCACTGTGTTCAGTGGCATGTCCCGGTTCTGAATTCATTTACTGCACACAGAGACCTTGGTTTTACATGACTCTGGGTTGCATGTGAGGGGAGGTACAGCAACAAGTAACAGGGGTCTTGTTGCAGCTGCATCATTGGGAGGGCGGGTGACACACTGCAACTAAGGCCCTGCTATAACTCATACACACTCTATAATCCTTATCTCAGCTGTTGGATTTGAGGTTCTCACGATGTCGGCTATAGATAGCATTGTCTTGGTTGCAATGACATGTAGTTCATGAACACCTGACGCTTCAGAGGAACATATCGCCTCCATCTTCAGGACTAAAGAGTAATCCAAGCAACGAATTGGCAAGGAAATCTGCTCTGCTTGCCATATGCTACTTCCTGGTTTCATTCTTGGCTTACTCTCAGTCAGTGAACTTGGATAAATCCACTGCACATCCTGTTCAGAAAGCCAGGTCAAAAATACGGACAGTAATCAGCATATACCATTGATCACAGCAATTGTATTTACCTGATACGGAGGCAAAGCATGAAGGAACATGAGGTGACCACATGGCACTGTATACAAGCTGTGTGTGGCCTAGAAATGTAGCCAATGAGTTAGGTCGGTTTGGATCCCACTGCAACATTACAAGATTACATCAGCTTCTTCAGTAAGAAAATCAGTGTCTTCTGGGAAGTGATGGTGTATAGTCTGGGAGGTTAGGTTCACAACATTACAGAATTAACATGCTACATACCATCAACACAACTTTGTATACAATTATTATTACTTAATTATAATCGTTATTATCATATTATACATTATAATATTGTAGAATGTATAACTGTTGCTATGCAACGATTATAAGATATATCAGACCTGTTTCTATGCAATGAGTTGGTAAACACATTACCACTCCTTCCTTTCAGATTCTATTTCTTTAATATCTATTTTAATATTATTCTCCTATCTATTACTATATTTTCCAAATGGTCTTTTCCCTTAAGGCTTACCAGCCAAGGGTATCAATGCACAAGGGACTATTTTTGTATGAACCTGTAAATGTTTAAGGTGGAATCAACCAAGTCAATGAAACAGCAACCTGCTTGAAAAGCAAAGAGTTACTGAGCTACTCACGAAGTCCATTACTTTTTGTGGAACATGCAATGTCATTGCTACCTTCATATCACCATGCCATTTTAGATGAAACTGAAGCAAAAACTGAGGTAAAATCCAACTAACTTTTGATGATACAATTTCCTTGTGATGTGAAGTCCCAATTCAGTGGTGTTAATGAGGTAAATCCAAAATATTATATCAACTTTGTATTTTGTTGTACAAATACCTAGAAAATCTGGAAACTGAATGTTCAGCATACCAGTTTAGTGCTGCAGTCCCAAGATGCTGATAGAACAAACTGCTCCTGTCGCGTCTGACTCCAGTCAACAGAATACACCTCCTTCTTGTGTTCTCGGAATGTTTGGGGTGGAAGCTATAAATATCAAAATAAAAGTCCTTCAAGTTTGAAATTCATCTAGATAATACTTACAAATTCAGATATACTGTATAGAAGACACAATGAAACTCTATTACTTACTTACTTATTTACTTATGGAGCTGAGCCCTTCTTGAGGAGAAGCCAAATCTGCAGCTACTCAAGAATTTCCCAGCATTTCGTGGAACCCGAAGGTGCATTACCGTGTTCACAAGAGCCCTTCACTGGTCCCTATTATGAGCCAGATCAATCAAATCCATACCATCCCAGCCTATCTCTCTAAGATCCACTTTAATATTGTCTTCCCAGTGGTCTCTTTCCTTACGGCTTTCCCACCATTATCCTATATGCATTCCTCTTCTCCCCCATTCATGCTACATGCCCTGCCCACCTCATCCTCCTCAACCTGGTCATTCTAATTATACTTGGAGAAGAGTACAAGTTATGAAGCTTCTCATTATGCAGTTTTCTCCAACCTCCTGTCACTTCATCTCTCTTCAGCCCAAATATTCTCCTCAACACCCTGTTCTCAAACACCCTCAGTTTATGTTCCTCCCTTAATGTCAGAGACCAAGTTTCACACCCATACAGAACCACAGGCAACTCTATTACAAAGACTAATTGGAACAGTTTATGGAAATAATCACTAATTTATTCCCAGAATCGTACAAAATCTAAGAATAAATTGTGTTGGCAAATTACACTCTTTTATGATAAAGCAGTTTGTAAATATAGTAATCACTGTGCCTTCAAGAGATAACTGATTACTTCTATGGTAAGTTTCAATGTTCTTAAAAAACTTGTCTTAATATTTATCCCAAATTTCCAGGAAGGTAAATTCAGGTCTGCATTGTGAATTTATAGTAATGATTTATAATCTCTGTAAGGGTGAAATTCTGTAGTGTGGGAACACAATGTACATAACAATGTCTGCATATGTTAATAATAAGGAAAAATGGTGTCTCAAAGTAATTTCAAAATTTTCACAGCATATACAGTATCAGTGGAACATTATCTTCAACCATATAATATCTCTCAGCAACTATAATTTGCTTGCCAGAACATCCTTCTAACATCACTTCCTTTCATCTTGAAGTCTGTCTTTAATAACAGAATGGAAATACACAGCAACCCAGTAGTCTCCAGAAATAAGCAATAAGCAATACCATACTGCTCCAGTACAGGACCACATTCTACCAACTGTGCTCTTCAAGACAAAATATAGGACACAATACTGCTTCATGATTGGAAGGTGGTCATAAATGGTAAGCAGGTAAGGATTTAGAAGGCAGCTGTATATGTTTCAAGGTATTTTCTCAGAGAGACTGAGAAAGACAGCAACACCTAAACATGGGCAGCAAGTAACCCAACCAAAAGTGCAGATCATTATAGCTATATCAAATTTCTTCAAGTTAGGTAGGATTATTTAACGCTGTGTTATATATTTCTACAGAATATTCATTTTCTGTTGGTGTACTTTTTGAAATAAATGGTCACTGAAATCATAATGAACACATTAGATTTTGTAAGGAGGAATGTATCACCTCCATCTTCAATATGTTCCTCTGAAACATCGGTTCACACAAGATCTACATGGCGCCACATCCCAGAAGACAGTATTTTTCACATTAGATTTTGATTCAAATTTCATAACAGAATACTTTTTTTTTTCTGTGGCGCTACAGCCCCAATTTGGGCCTAGGCCTACCTCCATGAAACTCTCCGTTTCACTTCGGTTTTCTAGATCTTACACGTACAGTAGGACTCCTTGAGCGAGTGATCAGCTCGTCGCAAGGCCTCTACCTGTAGACAAACACAAACATCCATTCCCTGAGTGGGATTCGAACCCACGATCTCAGTTTCCGAGCGAGCGAAGATAGTGCATGCCTTAGACCGTTCAGCTACCGTGACCAGCAACAGAATACCTTTACCTGTGGGTAACTCTTGTCTACTACTGTTGGAAAACTCACTATTTATCACTCGTGGACGACTCATACCATTAACTATGTTTACTGCCTGTGGGTAACTGTCTGTTATCTGTGGGCAAGACATGATATCAGCTGTAGACTAGCCATATGTCTACTACCTGCACGTAACTCACATTGCCTATTCCCTGTTGGCAACTCATACCAACTAATACCCGTGGGTGACTTTTTGTCTATTACCTGTGGGCAGCTCATATTCCAAAGCTGAAGACCACCATCACCACTCGCACTAACTATGATGTTTGCATCAGTTTCACTCCATGCCACATCAAAGAGCCCATCTGACCACTGCGTACATGCAACTTCCACCAAACCATTATCAGGGACCACCTCTAGCAAAAATAAAGTGCCACCACCTGCAGAACGAAACAGATCAATGATAAATAAACTGTCTATGTTGCTCTGCCCAATATTCACCTAGCAGATAACAAAATGTACTCTGAGTATCTATCTATCCATGCATGAGGAAATTCATACATACATGTGATATTTTGGTTCAAAATCATGAAAGAGAGCATCCATTTGGAAAACAAAGGCTCAGATGGGATAAAAATTTCCAAATTGATCTTTAATAAATCTTTTTCTTTGGTTTGATGTTTCAGTTTTTACATGAGTCATCTAACAACTGAGCCTCTCCATCTATCTCTGTCTTCCCAATGCTCCTCCTCCTGCATTTCCTTCCTTCTGTATGACATCTCTCGTTAACTGTGATTCCCATCCTTATCTAAGCCTTCCCCTTCGGTGTTTTCTTTCTATTTCCATATTTTAAACAGTCCTTGAAATCTTCTTTCATTCATTCTAAAATTTGCTCCATACCACTTTATTGATATATATATTGCTTTATTTCCCAATGTGTCAGTCTTTAAATTTTGTCTACTTTTATCCAATAGAAATATATGAAACTGCCAATTGGTTTCAACTGGCTCAAAACAGGGTCCAGTGATCGGCATTTCTGAATTGGGTGATGTTACTTCAGATTTCAATGGAGAACAAAATTTCTTTACTAGCTGTCAAGGATGATTCTACACCAAAGATACTATAACATACTGTGACATGACAAATAAAAACCAGAATATTTTAACATGAACAGTCATTTCTTGCATCAAAGTCCCACAAGAATCTTGACAGTCAGGAATCAGAGACAGGAGTCAGCATCTGAGAGTCCTGAGTTGCTTTGTTACACACTGCTACCAAGTAAAGACAGAAAACTTGGTGTTTGTGGTAGTGATTTGTAGAGTGTGTAGATCAGTGCAAGTGACATAGTTATTTGGTTTTGAGCTATAAGTGTTCAGTGAATTCAATTATCAATCCACGACCCACATCCAGTCACTAACAAGTCGCATTACAGTCTGAAAAACATCAAATAGTGATTTATCTTTATGTAGGATCTCAAGTTTCATGGCAAATAAATTTCTAAAATCTTCTCATGTGATCAGCCATGTCAATGATTAATCAAAAAACACCATTTCAGAAACCATGGAGATCTAAGAAAAGTTGATTTATAATTCAACACTGACAGTGCTAACTGCCAGAGAAAATTTCAGCATGCTGATATATTTTTATTTAGCACATATAAACAACCAAATTTTAGTGCAGTACAACAACAATTCCTTAACATGTTCACTACAGTGGTGGTCACCAGCGTTCACTGCACGCTCCTCATCTCACATCATGATGGTCACTGTTATGCGTTGCAAACATCTTTTTTTTTTTTTTTTTACTGTTAGTGAGGTGGGATTAAGTCCCTTGTACTGCGGCTACTTCTGGCCTATTCTACCAGCCCCAGATGATAAGTGAGGGTGATTGTGGAGCAATTGGTGAAATGAAGATTGGTAGGGGAAACCAAAGTACTCGGAGAAAACCTGCACCAGCGCCACTTTGTCCACCACAAATCCCACTTGACCAGACCCGGGATCAAACCTGGGCCACCATGGTGGGAAGCCAGCGACTAACTGCTTGAGCTATGGCGCGGCCTGCACACATCTTACTTTACACCATGATGGTCACTGATGTGCTTTTACATCGGCCACATAAGCTACTGGCTGCAGGCAATTTCTAAGTAAGTGTATCCACTATAGCCAATGGGTAATGCACAAGAACTCATCAACATCTGTGATTATTCACAACAGTGTAAAAATGACTGGTCTGGGGCAAAATATATAAAATGAATATGACAGCATAGGGAAAAAATAAAATAAAATAAAAAATAAATAAATAAAAATCACTGTCACTCAGAATGTTACCAGCATAATAGATGACCACAATTCTCTGATTCAAACAGCATATAATCAGCTTACAGCTATAAGAATTCAGTATTTACCAGCAAGTCCAAAATACTGAGATGTTGCACAAGCAATCCTTTCTGGCTGGAACGGCGAGAAGCGTACTGAGTAACCATGGCGATTTGGTGTGAGGAATGATGGCATTGTTTCACGGCAAAGCCTGGCAAATGAAGTATTAAAACTCATAAAAGACTGCTGAAATTTTAATGAATAATTGTTTACATGAACTTCTCAAAAATATCTGATTACAAAAAGTAATTGTTTACATGAACTTCTCAAAAATATCTGATTACAAAAAGTACTATCTTCTGGAACGGGCTACTTGTTTGATATCTTCAAACCTGAAGACACGGGTAAACCATGTGACTACACAGTTACATCCCAGATGATAGTCCCTCTTCACTGTTTTCACCACAAGAACTCAATTTTCACATATGTAACTTCAATAAGTTGAAATGTTCTGCATTTAAACAAAAATAATGAACTTGATAATATAAAAATATCCACTATGCAGTGCTCCTATTTAGAGGATAGTACTGGGAAATGCAGACACTTTAATACCAGACAAGACAAAATCACATCTTTCAATGCTGGCATCTTTTGCTCCCATCTCTAACTACTTTTAACACAGATTAATGAACATGTAACAATTCATTCATCAGTAATAACAACAATATAAGAGGAAGTCTCTTATGCACACTTATTTCAATGTGATCTAAAGGGAAAGCTAACCCTGTAGCAGGGTATGAAGACCTATAGAGGTGTCACCTTGACGGTCCCACATTTTGCCTAGACAATGGGCTCACAGATGGCGGTATGACTGTCAGCCTTATGAACTGGCTGCCCTATACTCCCCAGAAAGATTCCTTGTACTGATTTCTGTTAGAAGCTGAGTCGACCCCAGGACCATAGTGCTGAGGGAATGATCAGGTAAACTGAAAAAATCCACCTCATCAGGACTCAAAGTTGCGACCTTCCGGCTTGTAGCATAGTGCCTCAACCAACAACATTACCGTGTGCCCCCTTCAGTGTGATCTACCCAGGTAAATTAATCACCAAACAATGAATAAAATACAAATCTTCATTCAAGACCTGAATGTTATAGTCAGAAAACTCCAACATATACTTAAACTTGTGTCCCCAAGTTTGTTACCTGTGATCTGAAGCTAAGTTCCTCTGCTTCTTCTAAAATGTGTCCAATAAATATGCTCAAGAACTAATTAACCAAACATTTCTGATCATCAGTACTGAGAACAGTAATACTTATAATATACAAGTCTATTTGTTTGAAGATGAATAATTAAAAAAATGATTTTTTAAAAAAATTATCATTCCAATTTTTGTATACAATATACATGGTTTAACAAAGAATAAAATATAAATTCCACACAATCTAGTCACCCAGAAATCAGATTACACAAAATTCTAATTTTTGTAGCATGATTTTTCCAGCAACACATCCTTGGATCTCAATTTTAAGACAAAATTAATTTTCTGTATCAAATACAACCATTACATACAGTATTAATAATCCTCATTACTATACATTAGCTACCAACATGATTCCCCAACACAGAAACACACCCTCATATGAAACTAAGAAAATTTATACTACAGTAAGGAAAAATTATCCAAATAAATGAAATACCCTAATTCTGCCTACGAATTCATATTCCTGGTATGATTAACAGACAGGAAAAAAACTCCCTTAACTTACCTACCTCTAGCTTCACTACTAATTCTTCCACTACAGATTATGGACACAATATTGCGTTAAAATCAAGAAAATTATAGACTGGTGTAACTACATGCAAAAAAAAAAATAATTTGTCTCAGTTTTTCAAATCAGCCAAACAAGGCAATAATATGTGAAATACGCAATTTGTTTCGACCTACTCCTTACTTCACTATTTGTCTGTTTCACTTATTCCTTGTTTCTTTGGTTTCTGTGTCGATGGGAGAACCTACATTTATAACATGAAAGTATGGCACACAGTCTAAAAGTACCAACGACAACACACAAACTGGTAACTTATATTCCTTATATACTACGCATCCTATATCGACACTTACCAGTCTATTTCACATTCACATCATTATTAAGGTATATTTCTTTAAATGTCTAAGTGTACACGGTAATTATCTTACCGCTGCTTTTTGTTATCACATGTCCACTTCATACATCTACCACTTGCACTGTCAGACTTCGTACGATTTATCAAACGTCTTGCAGTCGATTATGTCAGTGTTCGACCAATTGATCTAAACTACCATCTCTGCCACCAGAGTGCAGGCAGTGTACCGCATAAAATACAGCACTGTGAGGCAGAAGCCAAGTTCTGTGTCAATTTCATTACAAAAAAAATATTCCGCTATTTTACGCATTTCTTGGTTACTAGACCATTGGGTCTAAACTGTATTACTTTTCAAAACTCTGTCTCCTTAAAATATAGAACATGTTAACTGTTCTTTGACCATGCTACCTTCTACTGTCCTCGTTGTTACATGCACATCACTCTGGCCCATCACAGGCAGCTAACTCTACGTACATTGTTTCAACATTCATTTTAATTCATTTAGAAAACTAGCTTAACTATTGATTTTAAATACGGCATGGAATTTAAGATATTAAAAAATATGTCCTAAACAAGCAAATCATGTAACTGATATTTTGTGCGTATTCCTTGTAATATCAAACACGTACTTGTATATAAAAAGGTCATTATTCGTTATAGATCCCCCCCTTGCAAAAAAACGAGAAGCGTGGGTTTTAAAACCATATGTAAAAATAAATTACGTTTCTCGAAGGTCATCACTGCCGTCATTTTTACCCTTAGCCATTAGTTTCCATTCTTGGATAATCCTTAATGTATTTATACCTGCATTCAGTACTCACCCTCATTCGCCCGAAACTAATTTGATCAGCAACATCTTGATCCTTTTACCAGCGAAGCCCTACAGTGCCCGGTATAAAGCTCGTCCCTGAATCACGTTTACAATCACTTTCGTCGAGAAGTCCCCCTTTCCAACTTCAGTATTAAAAAACTTGATCAGAGTTCAGTAAATTTGTTCAAATCTTAACACGCCATCAACCTTGCAAAAAATATTTAAGAGCTCATTGAAATTACAAAAAAAAATATATATATTTCTGTGCTCGAGCAGTCATGTTTCCGCTACTATTTCTAGCTTACGTGATTGCAGTTAAGGTCTTCAAGAAAACAACTCCGAACGGTAAGTGAAAGACATTTCAAGTTTCTGTAACCGTCACTGGGTTTATTTTTTGCCGATATGAATGAACGTTATGCAACGGCCGAATCTTGTAGTTAAGATGAAATTGAACATACAACACTCACAGAGACCGAACAAACTCGTCTAGAGTTAAAGCTATAGACTTTTATTCGGGAGGTTCTCGGTTCGAATGTCGACCAAGACACAAGTTAACCTGATTGAGGCTTTCGTGATGTTCCTCAGTTCTTCCAGGCATATGCCCCGGTATCACCTCGATCAGCAGCCTCTCCTCCCTCCCCCCAACTGATCACTCGTCTGCCATCCTTTCATTCGACGTTAGATAATTTCGATATCGAACTAACTAACCAACCAACTCCACGGTATTTCCAAAAATTTTAAGAAACCCGAAAGTTACTTTCCGTGTTCCATGTCCCTAACCTAAGCCAGGACAGTCCAATCCATATCACCCCATTTTGTCCCTCTAAGATACATTTTAATAGTACCTTCCCACACTCGTCTACGTTTCCTTTGTGGTCTCTTTCCTTTCGTCCTTTCCAAATCCTATATGCATTCTTCTTCTCCCCATTCGTACTACAGGCTCTGCCAATCTCATCCTCCTTGACTTATTCTAATTATATTTGGCGAAGAGTATAAGTTATGAAGTTCCTCATTATGCAGTTTTCTCCAACCTCTTGTCAGTTAATCTCTCTTCTATCCAAATATTCTCCTCAGCACCCTCTTCTTAAACACTCTCAGTCTATGTTCCTCCCTCAATGTCAGAGACCAAATTTCACACCCATATAAAACCACAGGCAAAATTATATATTTCCATATTCTAATTTTTACGTTTTCAGACAGCAGACGAGTAAACAAAAGGTTGTGGACTGAATGGTAGTAAGCTTTACTCGAATTTCAATACTGAAAACCTCTTAAAATTACCAACAACCCTTACTACTTTTATCTATCTGTCTATGGCTCTACAGCCCTTTGCCACTTTTTCAGTTCCTTGGTTTTTACACTATCGGTGGGAGTCCTTGGACGGGGGTAACAGCCTGTCGCAAGGCCGCTACCTGCACACAGGACAGCATAAACACAGAATTAACACTTACAGATATTCAGGCATCAAGTGGGATTCGAACCCACGAGCCCAGTGTTTGAGGGGACGAAGACGGTTCAAGCCCTAGATGGCGCGGCCCCTATGAGTGGCCCTTTACCATATACAGAGTTCTAATTTCCATTTGCTTGTTTAGGTAAGATCACGGTGTACCTCGGTAAGAGAGACTTCATTGACCACCTGGACCATGTCGACCCCATTGATGGTATCGTGGTTGTGGACAACGACTACCTGAGCGGGAGGAGGTTGTACGGCCAAGTAACAACCACGTACCGGTATGGCCGAGAGGAAGACGAGGTGATGGGTGTGAAGTTCAGCAAAGAATTGGTGTTGACACGCCAACAACTTGTACCGCCTGCAGCGAAGACAGATCTGACACCTATACAGGTGACTGACGACATTTCTACTTCAGTACTATTTTCAACACAATCAGAAGTAGGTCCACACTTCCAGGACAAGAAAGTATTCAGATGCTAAGGTAAAATGACACCAAAACATAGCATAACAATTCTCTAGCTTTCACTCTCTTTTGTTTCATTATAATGAAAAATACAAACGTGCATTGATCAAAAATCTGAGTCTCATTTTTGTCTACAAATTCTGTTCGAAAGATTTCTCGCTCCAATAAACATTAAGCGCGTTACATTCAATGTAGAAATGTATGTATATCTTCGTGTAAAACGTCCGCTATTGTTAATCACAAGTAGAAATGGTCGACATATTTAATGTTAACTATGCTATGGGCAAAATTAGGCAACAATTTCCCGCCCAAGTAGTTTCCAATGCCTCTGGTAGATGGGGTAATATCAGGTACCGACGGCCGACCTCGTTGGCTGAACGGGGCTGATAGCAAGCACCAGTACCGGTAGGGTATGGCGAGAGTAGAAATTAAATGGGGACGCACAATGGACCAATAACTGGTCTAAGTGCATGGGGAAACCCACCCCCTCTAATAACAATAATAATAATAATGCTATGGGCTGGATAACAGGGGAATAGGGGTTTGATGTTTGGAAAGAGCAAGAGATTTTTCTCCATAATGTTCAGACACGTTCTTGAGCTCTATCTACCTCCTATACAATAAACAATGAGGTTCTTTTTTTCGGGGAAAAGAAACCTGAAGGTGGGGTTGAAGCTGGCCATTCATCTCCGTCTAGAGCGGTGTTCCGATCTTCTGGGATATAAGGTCATGCAGTCTGATGAAAGTCAACCGACGTTTAGGAGGAACATGTCGCCTCCATCTTCAGAATCGAAGAGTAAGACAAGAAAAAACCAGCATGAAGCTAGCTGTAACCAAAACTTAGCTTATTCTTTAACTATGAAGATGGAAAAATATGATCCTCCGAAACGTCAGTTAACTTTCAAAGGATTACGCAACGTTATATCCCACAAAATAGAACTCTTCATAGACACTGCTGTGAGAGCCTCAAATCTAACACAGTTAAAAAGAAGTTGGAAATAATTAATATGCCGATATATACAAAACAGAAATTAACGGCCGTGGGGATCCGTTGTGCTGACCATGTGACACCCTCTAGCCGCAAAAGTTGGTACTAACTTCGCTGACAAGCGGCGGTAGCTCGGTCGGTATAGTTCGCTTGCGGACTACAGGCCATGGAGTATGTATGTATCATATATATCAAGCAGGTAATGCCAGCCTCAATTATTTAGTTTCGTGAGCGACTTTATTACAAAATATTCCAGCATCTCAGAAGCCCTAATGCAGGGCTGGCCAAATTTACTGAACATCGAAGACGCATATGGAAATTTTCAGAAGGTCGAGAGCCTAAAATAGGCGTGGAATTTATGGAATATGTATCTGAACACGTGCTTCTCAAGCAAATGTATTTTATTATATTTCTTATATTTATAAAGAAGGAATTAACTAGGATCCTTTTCATCGAACATAACGAAAGCTGCGAAATAGCTGCATAGCGACTACCGGGCCCCAGTTCGGCCACCTTTGTCCTAATATTTTGCAGGCAAAAACAATTCAGTAACGAAGAGTTCTAACTTCTGGGATGTAACGCCGTGTAGTCCGTTGAAATTCAATTGACGTTTCAGAGGAACAAGTCACCTCTATCTTCAGGTAGAATAAGGAAAGCAAATAACTATCATGAAGCTGATAGAAAGCTGGTCTCTTAATTGAGCCGCCCTTCCTCCTCTTCGAAGACAACCACGCTCTGCTACCAATTGTTGAGCCGCTTCGAAGACAACCGGAGCTCACAATCGACTGTTTGTCTCGTGGTGTTCCAATGCCTCCCCAAAGTGGAAGGGGATCTCAAGGGAGGAACCGAGAGGGTTAGCTGGCATAGGCGTTGGGCAGTACAAGTATTTCAGCAGAGTACAAGAAATCATAACAATCCAGCTGGCTTTTCAATAATATAAAAATATATTGCAACAAAAGAGTAGAAATGTAAATCATACAAATATGACAAGGAAAATGTTACAGCTTCGCCTGAAGGGCTGGTAGAAAAATCAAATAAACATCAGTCAAGAATGACTCAGAATTTGCCCGCAGTCAAAGTAACGGTTGCGACCCTTTTAAGTTCACTGACCTGGGCTGATCAATAGCCTTGAAAGTACATAGTTAAAACTGTCGCAAATAGCCTGGTTGCCAAGATGAAACTCGATCATAATGTTCTGACTACACCGATTACAAAATAATACATAAAACAGAGCTGAAAAGAAACAAACATTCAATCCCAACAGAATGCCCCTGCCGCATTGCGGCACTCAGTGACCAATCACAAGTCAACGTAACTCCTGGCACTCTCACAAATACAGGGCAGTTCTAAAACCACTCGCCCAACTTACTCAGTAAGTACTTACTTAATAAAATATATATTACAAGCCAGGGAAAATAATAAATAAATAAATAAATACACAAACTCCCGAGCCAGCCAACCCCACGCCGGCTCGACAGGGCTTTCTCTCTCTTTCTGTAGCAGTTAATGCGCCGAAACAAAATTTCTACGCATAACGCGTAATCAAACCAAACTGAATTTCGAACTCCCAAAACCGACCTTCTCGGTCGAAGACGAAGAGGAAAAAGCCACAGACCTACTTGTCTGTAAACGTAGCTCGTGTCGGGACAAGAGGGAAGGGGAAACACGTGACCTCTAGGTTACGCAAGGAACTTGATGGGAAAGGGATCGGCTCCGCGTCGTAGCGTACGTAGTTGCCAGAGAGAGAGAGTAAATCCAAAGATCCTACACCGAAAGAACCGTGACACGGTTCATAATTTATATCTTTTTTAATTCGCTTAGTGGGGGGTGGAGTCCAATTGAGGCACGGAGGCCAATGATTGACATATTGTAGCCTGCCCCGGGTGATTATGATGATGGAGAATTTAGTGGAATGAAGACTGGCAGGGGAAACCGAAGTACTCGGAGAAAATCCTCCCCAGAGCCACTTTGTCCACCACAAATCCCACTTGACCAGACCCGGGCTCGAACCCGGGCCGCCGCGGTGGGAAGCCAGCGACTAACAGCTTGAGCTATGGCGCGGCGCATAATTGACTTACTCCCAGACCCTGAAGATGAAGGCAACATACTCCACCTAAGCGTCGGTTGACATCAAAACGTCTTATTCTATATATCCTATTGTTCTCTCGTATAAGGCAACAAACTTTCAGTACCGTCATATAAGAGCGTTCTTATTGAATAATAAAACGACTGAATTTAAGTAGAAACCATAAGTCAACCAGTTTATTATATAAATCACACCATGCGTTTCGGTCTATTTTGGCCACTATCAGGTGCATACGAATAAACACAATAAATAAATTTAGTGTGTGATGAATTATATGATAAAAAGGATCCATTTTTCAGCGTCGTAAATTAAAATTTGTACACGTGTTAGTGTCGAATATATGAAAATATATTTGCAATATCATAGAAACATTAAGGAGCACGCGGTAGAGTATCTGGTTGAGGCACTACGCTACAAGCAGTAAAGTCGCGGGTTCGATTCCCGATAACGTCATTGGATTTTTCAGTTGACCTAATCCTTCCAGCCGCACTATGGCTCAGGGGTCGTCTCAGCCCCTAACAGAAATGAGTACCAGGAATTTTCCTTGGGGTACAGGGAGGCCAGCGCGTAAAGCTGACAACCTCACCGCCATCTGTGAGCTGATTTTCTAGAAAATGTGGAGGCCTCCTAGTGTCACAGCCTTATGAACCTCCACGGCCTGTTACAGGGATATATTGTTTACATAGAATTATTAAAAATTTAAATATTAGAACTTTTGACTACAGGGCATTATATTCCAAAAGATAGAACTCTTCATAGCCACCGCTGTGAGACCCTCAGGTCCAACATAGCAATTCAGTAAGTCAACGTGCTACATTGTGTCTAAAGGAGCCAGGAAGCTACATATAGACCCCGCAACTAATCATGAAATTGTAAGACTTGAGGATTTCAAGGCAGTAACTATGAAGAAAACCGTCTTCTGGGATGTGGTGCCGTGTATAAATTGTGTTAACCGACGTTTCGGGGGAATGTATCGCCTCCATCTTCAGGGTAGAAAACAAGCAGAAATCCGCGAGCGAACCAGCTAGAGCAGGTGCAACAGACTGAGTCTGATAACACGTCAGTTAACACAATTTCTACACGGCGCCACATCCCAGAAGACGGCTTTCTTCAATCATGAAATTATCCCCAAAATACAATACTTCACTGAACCCTTTTGGCGGTTTACCAGGAGCGGCTGATGAAGAAGCTGGGCCCCAACGCATACCCCTTCAAGTTCACGTTCCCTCCGAACTCCCCTTGCTCCGTGACGCTGCAACCTGGCGACGAAGACACGGCTAAACCTCTTGGTGTCGAGTACAACGTCAAGACATACGTCGCTGAAAGTCCCGACGACAAGAGCCACAAGAGATCTTCTGTCTCTCTTGCAATCAAGAAGGTACACTTTCCTCAAAAGAAACAGAGGAAAGACAATTATTATTCGTCTGAAACAGGTAAAGTTATCCTTGTATAAGACGGTGAATGCCCATAGGTTTGTGAGACGTCTAGGTCACAACATTCTCTATATAATCGGCTCACAGATGGCCGTGAGGTTGTCAGCCTTACGCCCCGGCCGTCATTTATCCCCGGGACCATTGGAAGGAATAGGGAAATTAAAAAATCCAACCTCTTCGGAAATCGAACCAGCGACCTTCTGGCTTGTAGCATAGTCCCTCAACCAACTACACTACAGTGTGTCCCGTTAAATAAAGTTTAGGCACAAATGTTTGTCTTTCAGGGCTACGTTATGCTTCACTAATCCGAATAATCGATTAATCCGGTTGATCTCCCAATTATTCCACATTAGCGAGGGCTTACTATACCTGCAACCAGTATTCAGCGCTCTATCCTGCCATTATAATCACACACAGTATCATTATGATTCTGTTGTATTGAGAGATAAAAATGGTGTGAAGAATTCCGTCTTCTGGGATGTGGCGCCACTGCACCACATCTCAGAAGTCGGCATTCTTCATAGTCACCGCCGTGAAAACCTCAAATCTTAAAAAATTGTGTGTTTTCATGGTAAATATCCTTGGTTTCAGGAGATTTCACGGCCCTAATTGGCAAGGGGCAGATATAAATGTTGACAGAGACTTAGTGAACCCCAGAGTTGGTCTGGACACTGTGGAATAAGGTAGAATCTCTTGCTACTGTCAGGAATTGAACCCCGGGCCGTCCAGACCGTAGCCATTCGCTATACCGACTGAGCTATCCCTGCTCATCGATTCTTTCCACATACTATTTGACTAATTATTTACTAATGATCCCACCATCACGCACCATGTAGTATGAACTACAGCAGCCATTTCCGGTGCCACGTAGCGTCATCACACGTGCCTCGTCTTTAGAAGATCGCAGCTTCGCATCTCTGCCCGGACACGGACTATCCTAATTGAGGTTTTCCTTGTTTTTCTCAGTCATCTCAGGACACGGCTGGCACAGAACATTAAAATAGTCCACTGCGATTGCTTCCACTTTCATAATAGATATTAATATAATTTTGAGGGTTACTGTACGACGCTGTCAGTATCTGTATTATATTGTTTCTAATCCTAAACGAATAAACTCCGTGAACTTTAGTCCCCAAGCGAACTATACCGACCGAGTGACCGCCGCCTGTCGGCGAAGTTAGTGCCAACTTTTGCGAATAGAGGGTGTCGCGTGGTCAGCGCAACGGATTCCTACGGCCGTTAAACTCGATTTTCTAGACCGGACCTAAACGGATAAATGAAAAATGAATTGGAAGAAGTCTATAAGGAAGCGGTGGTGGTCTAGTTTAAGGCATTCTCCCGAAATTTGCTTGAGGAAGAACACGAAAAGGTCATTCAAGACAGCGGGTGTCCCCGCCAAAATTCGAACAGAATATCTCCTAAATACAAGTCAGTAATTTTACGGCTTGGGCCAGATTGCTCAGTATTTAACAATATTGCGGTATCGTATGTTGGTTGAGGCACTATGCCAAACGCCGGAAGGTCGCGGGTTTGATTCCCAATGAGATGACTGAATTTTTAAATTTACCTAATCCTTCCAGCCGCACTATGGTCCTGGGCCCGACTCAGCCTCTAAGTGAAATAAATGCCAGGAATCTACGTAGGAGTAAAGAGAGGCCGGCGCGTTACGCTGACAACCTCACCGCCATCTCTGAGCCGATTGTCTAGAAAAATGTGGGAGCCTCGACGTCTCACAACCGTATGGGCTTCCACGGCCTATTACAGGGATAGTTTTGCTTTTTTATTTTTATAACGTACCTCTGTTCTAACAGTAGGACTACAACTGGCCTACAGCAAACACAGTATCAAACCCGTGTTACGACGTGAAACGTTCCTTCCCCTTTTCCTTGCTACTTTTTGTGTGTTGCTTATTGGCTCGTCCTTGCTTTCACTCTCGTTACTGCAGTATTTCTCACTTTCATTTTCTACGTCACCAATTTCACTATTTTTGTCACCTACTATAAACCTTCATTCCTTCATTTCCGCAGGTTTATCTCAACATTGCAGACTTTCTGTGATCTGGTCTTCGGATTCTGTAAGAAAAATAGCTCCTCGATATTTACTTATAATATATGTGATGTATATGCGAAGAAACGGGGTTCGATTACCCGCAGGGACAAGAGAATTTTCTCTTCTCCGTAGAACCTAGAACGGGCCCACCCAGCTTCCTAAACAAAAGGTACCTCGGTCTATTTCCTTGGGGGTAAAGATGTCGGGTTGTGAAACTAACTATTCAACTCCATCTAGTGTCGGGATTACCAATGCTTAGTGCTTAACTGACAGCAAAGAAAATTTTACCTGTCTCTGGAGTACAGTGTTACACTGCTGCTGTACACGAATTGGGCATGGCGGGATAATATCACTGAAATGGAGTTTAAAATTACGGGGAATCAAAATTTGAGAAAGCTGGATGTCCACTCTGTTTTGAACGAAAAGGATGGAAAACAAAAGGGTACAGTCGCATTTCTTTTAACGCTAGAAATTAGTTTTTGGAAACGACAGCCCCCAATGAATCACGCAGCAAGAGGCAATTTTAGTAGCTAACAGTAATTATGGAAGTATTTTCTTCAAGTCGTAATTTATTGCAATTATAGAATAAATAAAAGAACCAAGCACATAAAAATTATTAATTTAGTTCAAATTACTTACAATATGTGTAATATATTGTCACACGTACGAGTGACTATAGACGGGGTTTGGATTGGTAATTGAATTTATTGAACACTTGTATATCGTCTGCGACATGACGCAAAGAAAGGAGTACAGTTGAAAAGAATGAGATTATGAAAACAGCAGCACACCGGTCTGAGTCATGACGGTCATGACCCACACCGGTGTGCGGCCTACCTAAGGCTGACATCACCGCTATCTGCGAGCCGACTGTCTAGAAAATGTGGGAGCCTCGACGTCTCACAACCCTATGGGCCTCCACAGCCTGTTACAGGGATAGCTTTACTTACTTTACCGAAGAAAACGTGTTTCAGAATAAAGAGCTTTATAAAAAATCTGCTTTATATGGGGTCGCGTTAAGTGAGGTATGACTGTACTGCTAAAACTTTCCAGAACGAGAAAGTGGGGAGAAGAATTTTTATTGTATTCAGAAAATGACTGATTATAAATTAACATTTGACATGTAATAAAATTAACGGTACAAGTATGGAGATCAACACACTGAAAAATATTTGTTTAAAATCAGATGTAAACATGAGCGCCTGGTAGGGGGAGGGCAAGCCAGACACGTGACACACCGGGGGAAAGGATCTGTAAAACATCAAAATTGTAGAAAGAAATATATATATATAAATGCACCAAATGTTACCACCGAAAATTAAAATTCTTTTTAAGAACATGTTCTTCTACATTGAATACTATACGGCAATCATTTAAAATAGTTTTAATGGACTACATGGCTGTGTGCTCCAGAAGACAGAATTCTTCATAACCACCGCTGTGAGAACTCCAGTTTTTACAGCAGCAGCAGTAGTAGTAGTAGTATTAGTAGTAGTAGTAGTCGGGGTAGCGTAGTCGGTATAGCGACTGGCTACAGGCTGAACGACTAAGGGGTCGGAGTTCGACTTCCGGTAGGCTGAAGAATTTTCTCTTCTCCCAATTGTCCAGACCGGCTCTGGGGTGCACCAAACCTCCTATCCAATTGGTACCGGGGGCTCTTTCTCCTTGGGTAAAGCGACCGGGGCATGAAGCTGACCAATCACCTCCAGCTAGTGCCGAAGTCAATAAAATGTGGATCTACACATCCACTCCATAGTGCTTAGCTCGTTGAGCATAGGGACAACTGTACGTTTTTTAGTAGTAGAAGTACACAATAATGGAAACAGGCGTAGATCATTATATAACCAATGCATGTGCCGTCACAGACCTGTGTACCACGTAAGGTAAAGACAGACAACTGAAGGAACTGCAACTGAAACTGAATCGACAAATGAATGGTTTCAGCTGCAGTACGCACCCTCGAGTCGCGGTATCCGTCTGCCCAGCTCTCTGGTCAGCAAGGGCTTCACGTTCTCGCAAGGCAAACTGAACCTCGAGGTCACCCTCGACAAAGAGACGTATTACCACGGCGAGAGGATTGCTGCCAACGTCATCGTGTCCAACAATTCCCGAAAGGCAGTGAGGAACATGAAGGCAAGTTTCGTGATGTGCTTGTAACGGGTAGTGGCAAGATCGCTACATCAATGCTTCTCACAATACACAGCGACTGTTTCTCTAAACAACATTAACCGGTTGGTTTTTGTAGCGAAACCTTAATGTGTTTCCTGTGAGGTACGAGTTGAATTTTTATATATTTTTTATAAATCCAAATGTACGTGATACTGGACAAGGAGAAACCAGGCGTAGGAAGTATAGGATGCTTAAACTTGGCGACGGTCAAGCCTACGACCGTTCAGCTATCTAACTGCAGTTTCAAAGTGGTTGCATAAATTAAGGCATAACCTGCTGCACAAGCCTGCATTGACAGGAAACCTCTGTACGTATATACCCTGCATAAATTTTACTTAGTATAGGGCAGTGACAAAGGGTGCACAGAGTCCATAGTCACTTGGACGCCGTGACAGCGCGCATAAACTCGTGCTGAAACTACGGTGAAATAAAAGTAGCGTCTACATAGAAACACCGACGCTTCCTCTCGTCGAAGAGGCCTCATTTCTAAACACGTACACGTCTAGGACAGAATAAAAATCCTGGCAATGAATATCGAGCAGACTGAGACCAGGAATGACTGTGCTGGCGAAGGCCAGAAGCAATTCAATCAATTGACCAGTCTTTAAATGATTAAATATTAATGCACAGAATTAAATTCTCTGCTCAATTTCGATCCTGTGCTCTTGACAAAGTTCACTTCATAATCCTTTACGTGCCTCGCTTCCCAACGCTTTACCCTCTCTCAACTGCACATGTACCAGAAGGACGAAATGACACTGCCTGGGAACCTTCAAAGCAAAAAAAAAAAAAATCTTTCTGTCTTCCCCTCCTAAAATGTCGCATATCTCATTACTCCCCTCACTTTCTCTTCTTCTCTCTTCTCTCTGAGTGTCTATCACTACTCCCTCTACACTTTCTCTTCTCTTTCCCGTGCTTCAGAAGGTTAATACACATGACGGTTAGCGATCTAATTCTACTTCCTTCTTCAGTCGGAGTAAGAGTCAGAGTCACTTTACGACTGGCGGTTTACTGCCAATCAGTTCGTCTTGGCGTCAGGCCCCTCGAGGCCCACGATCACAGATTACTTTTCCCAACTGAACTCTTTCGGTAATAGTCCTTATGTAACATCCTGAGTTTGTCTCTTATGAATAACCCTGACCTTTCAACTGTATATTTCGCACATATAACATGTCGAAAATTCCTCCTTTTGCACTACACACACGTCCTCTGTCAGTACAGGCTTTACAGAGCAGATCATGTCTAATTATCACCTCTTCAGGTGATACATTGTTGTTATATAACCAATAATTTGTATTTCCTTCTTTAGTTGCTTACCCTGAAGTAAAGACAGTACTTCGGAGAAGTAAGCTTAAATGGAATGGGAAAATTAAAATGGATGTTCATGAAATACCGTATTTACGCATGTATAGGCCGCATATTTTTTGCCAAAAATTCAAGAGGAAAACTGGGGTGCGGCTTATATTCGAAATATTCGAAATCACACTTCATTTAAAAAAAAAATTATATTCATAATTAGTAATACAGAGTGTTCTACTCCTGAAATAATATTCCAAGAAAATTATTTTTTCTATAATTTCTGTCTGAAAATTGTGCTGCGGCCTATACACGCACGCGGCCTATACATGCGTAAATACGGTAGCATGTGAGGATGTGTATTGGATTCAGCTAGCTCAGAGTAAGACCCACTGGAGTGTTCTTGTGAATATGGTAATGCACATTGGAGTTACACGAACAGGCAAACTAATGTATAAGCGTTCAGTGCAAATTCTATAGGCATGTCCAAGGAACATTTCGCCTGTTGCAGGTGCAAGTGGTTCAGCACTGCGAAGTCACGATGGTGAACGCGCAGTATTCGCGACAAGTTGCCAGTCTGGAGACCAAGGAAGGCTGCCCCATCATCCCAGGCTCTTCGTTTAAAAAAGTGTTCTACTTAGTGCCCTTAGCCTCCAGCAACCGGGACAAGCATGGCATTGCTTTGGACGGCTATCTCAAGGTACAGCCTCGTCACTGTACTAGCAGCTACACGTACAGCACGCTTCCCTTATTTTCTTGTTTAATCCAAAGTTATACGTAGCAATGAGTTCATATTTTTTTTTTCCTGTGGCGCTACAGCCCCAATTTGGGCCTAGGCCTACCTCCATGAAACTCTCCGTTTCACTTCGGTTTACTAGATCTTACACATTCGGTAGGACTCCTTGGGCGAGTGATCAGCTCGTCGCAAGGCCTCTACCTGTACACAAACACAGAAAAACGCACACAAACATCCATGCCCTGAGCGGGATTCGAACCCACGATCCCGGCTTCCGAGCGAGCGAAGAGAGTGCATGCCTTAGACCGCTCGGCTACCGTGACCGGCAGTGTATAAGAATAATATATAAGAATTCAGTTCGTACCTCACAGGAAACAGATCCGAACCCACGATCCAGGCTTCCGAGCGAGCGAAGACAGTGCATGCCTTAGACCGCTCGGCTACCGTGACCGGCAATGAGTTCATATACAGTATATATTTTGGAGCCATACTTTTTTGTTTTATTAGCCTACTTTCCTTTTCTCAAAAAAATAAAAGTAGGCTTATGAGATCACCTTTCTCTGTGTGTGTCTGCAAGTGTAGGACCCCCCAAACAACCACACAACTTTTGAATGGCTGAACAAATCTTTATGATACATGGCATGCACGTATATCACAGAACCTGAGCTCATCTCAAAGGCGCAATTCATATATCCCTCCTGTCACTAATACCAACATTACAGCCTCTCAAATTTCTGAGGCAAACCCTTAATATTGTTTGAATGATAAAACCAGTCTTCATGAAACTTGGTATGTATTTCATGACATCTGAGGCCGTCTCAAAGGCGCAATTAATAAATCCCTCCTGTCAGTAATACCAACACTGAAGCCTCACAAATTTCTTCATATTTGCTGTATCAGATCCTAAAATTACAGTGAAAAGAGAGTAGGCAATTAGTTCTTCCCAGAACCTTTTTATTAGCACTAACTTCGCAGACAAGCGGTGGTCGCTCTCTCGGTATAGTTCGCTTGCGGACTACAGGCAACGGAGTTTTTAGTTTTTCTTAGTGTATATCACCGTTACTATGCAACGACAGCCAGATATGCAAATATACCTGAGCCATTTCTAGACAACGGCTTGGTAAATACGTTCCCGCTGCAACGAATACGCATGCAACAATCGAGGTGTTTTCTACTATGTACGTGCAAAGGGGCTGTAAGAAGGACAATTGAAGAAAGAAGAGTTCAAGACATAGACAATGTAAAAGATAAACTTGGTGGTGGTCAAGCTTACGACTGTTCAAGCGACTAGGTTGCTTTGTAGTTTAAGATAGGATAGACATGATCTGCCCTGTAAAGCCAGTTCTGACAGAGGATTTGTTTGAAGTGCAAAAGGAAGAATTAACATAAAATGGTATTAGTGCGAAATATACATTTGACACAAGGCCAAACATATTCATAAGAGACAAACCTATTTTCTCATCAGAGAGGATGTTATATAAGGACTATTACTGCAAAGGTTCAGTTGAAGAAAAATCCTCTGGTCATGGGGTTCAAGAGGTTTGATGCCAAGACGAATTAATTGGCGGCAAACTGCCAGTCGTAAAGTAACTTTGACTTTGATTCTGAAGAAGAGTTCAGTTGGAAGACAGCCACCGTTCAGAGTGAAACTGATCCCGGAAGTAGATGAATAGACATTGTTAGAAGCCGTTACCAGGAAATGTCTAGTAACAATCTGAGAACACTAGAATGTGTGCTCTAGTGAACCGTAAAGTGTGGAAATCAGTGGTAGTGTTATAGTTATTTGTAGCTACGACCTGTAAGTGGTCAATAAATCCAATTATCCAAAACCCTGTATATTGTCAACTCCATATAAATTAACATTATTGTTGTTGTCAGGATGACGACGTGAACCTGGCCTCCTCCACGCTTATGCCAGAGGGCCAGTCCCCTACAGATGCTGTCGGTATTTTCATCTCTTACTCCTTGCGCGTGAAGCTTAACTGTGGCACCTTGGGAGGAGAACTTGTGACGGATGTGCCCTTCAAGTTGCTACACCCCGCACCAGGTAACTGCATCCCTTAATTTAGGGATAACAAGGCATTTCGTGACTCTAAAGTTTCTAATCCCGAGTGATTCATTATGCTACGACTACATTGCAAGATTTGAGGTTTCCATGGAACTGAATGTGCATATTGTAAGTTTCTTGATTATGATGCCGTGTTCGGGGCACGCGGTAGCATAGTTGGTTCAGGCACTACAGTACAAGCCGGAAGGTTGCGGGTTTCATCCTCCATGAGATCACTGGATTTTTCAATTGACCCAAAAATTCCAGCCGTACTATGGCCCTGGGGTCGACTCAGCCTCTAACAGAAATGAGTACCAGGAATTTTCCTGGGGCTAAAAAGCGTCCAGCGTGTTAGGTCGACTCACAGACATCTGTGAACCGATTGTCTAGAAAATGTGGGAACCTCGACGTCTCACAACCATATGGGTCTCTACGATCGGTTACAGGGATAGTCTACCTTTTCTTCATGACGCCGTTTCTCTGTGGATGATTACCAGCTTTTAGAAAGAACAGTCACCACTCTCTCGCCTGGAGGCACGGGCAGTATTTTCCTCTGGGGGAACGTACTGTACATGTAATTTAGGGAGTTAGACTCTGGATTCTCACCGCGGAGCCTTGGGTTTAGTCCCGCGTGAATTCAAGGGAGTTTCGTGAAGGGCAAATAATTGTAATTGTCACTCGAGCAGGTCTTTTTTTTCTGAGTTTCTTCAGTTTTCCCCTGCTAATTACCATTCCACCATTGCTCAGTAGACATCTATCATCGCCGCCTGAAGTATGGGACAGCCCTGACGAAGCAGTATATTACCACGTCTACAGTCTTCAAGTCACGTATTTCATCTATAACCTAGCCCTTAACTGGCTACAGAATAAAGAAGTCAAGTTATCGCTGGTATTCACCTACCAAACTGCACGACGTCATAACCCAGGACACTATAATAAGAATGTTCCACGTTATGTATCCTTTTAAAACTGCAACTCCGAAATTTTAGGATGACGAGATATTTTGTGGCTATAGGAACTGAGGGTCTCACAGCGGTGGTTATGAAGAGTTCTACCTTATGGGATATAACTCGGTGTAGCCCTTGAAAGTCAACCGACGTTTCGGAGAAACAGATTGCCTCCATCTTCATGATCGAGGACTCTGCCGCTTCCAACCTGCTTTCTCACTGGTTTATTGCTCGGTTAATTCTTCTACCCTGAAGATGGAGGAGATATTTTCCTCCGAAACTTCGGTTGACTTTCAACGGACTACTCCATCTTCATGATTGAGGACTCCGCCGCTTCCAACCTGCTTTATTACTGGTTTATTGCTCGGTTAATTCTTCTACCCTGAAGATGGAGGAGATATTTTCCTCCGAAACGTCGGTTGACTTTCAACGGACTACTCCAGCTTCATGATCGAGGACTGTGCCGCTTCCAAACTGCTTTCTCACTGGTTTATTGCTCGGTTAATTCTTCTACCCTGAAGATGGAGGAGATATTTTCCTCCGAAACGTCGGTTGACTTTCAACGGACTACAAGGCGTTATATCCCAGAAGACAGTGCTCTTTATTTTGTGAGTGCCTACAATCTTGGCATTTACTGATTCAATGTGCCACAATTCGTCGCCTGGGCACTGAAGTCTGCTACACGCACGGCCATCAGCACAGGTTCTGGAAGGACCGGTTTTGTATATTAGGGAATGAACTGCAGTTTAAACGTGACTCAGAACAAAACACTTACGCCTGTGGAAATGTGTGGAGAACACGGAGAATCAGGTACAAGAATTATCTCATTNTGGGGGAAGCATTATAGATACCGCTAAGCCAGTAGAGGCCGAACTCGCTGGCTCGGTCGGGACTGATCGTACGCACCAATATCGGTAGGGTATAGAGACTGGTAGAAATCATAGAGGGAAGCACAATGGACCACTACAGGTCTAAGTGCATGGGGAAACCCACCCTCTCCAATAACTAACTAACTAACTACCCAAAGTGAAGATAGAACGGTCCAGTACTACGAATTATGTTGGGATTTGTCCAATATATGGAGCACAATTAATATAAATGGTCATTTTGAGACCGCCTGTACCGGCATTGGCTTCAATGGTAATGAGCCGGAGTTCTATTCCGGAAATGTACAGTTAGACTGTCACTCGGAGCACTGATTATCCTGCCTGAAGTTTTTCGTTGTTTCTTTAGTTACAACATTCTTTTTTGAAATTGGCCTATGCATTCATCATTTACGGTCTTTTCAAGATCTTATTCAGTGGTTAGATCAACTCAGATATAACCCTGAAATTGAAAGAGCGTCATTAAGTAATAAGAATTATTAATAACAATAACAACAATAAAAGTCACCACTCGTCCCCCCCCCTCTTCTGGATACGACGAGAATGTTTTGTACAGGGCAGGGGAACCCCCAGAAAATGTTCACAAGGAACAAGTCGAGACAGTTTACAGCCGATTTTATTAATGAAATTGTTTAACGCTTTCGAATTTAGGCAATAGGACTAGTTCTTTAAAATAATTTTTTTTTTGTACTAAATATCCAGGGAGAGTAAAATGTCTGGTTTCTCTACCCGGTCGGCTAAGATGTTTCTTCTTCTTCTTCTTCTCTTATTATTATTATTATTATGAAAGCCGGGAAATCGCAGTCGGTATAGCTACTGGCTAAGGGCTGGAAGACCGAAGGACCGGGGTTCGAATACCGGCGGAGGCAAAAATTTTCACTTCTCTATGTCATTCAGACGGGCTCTGGAGTCCACCCAATGGGTACCGGGGGGTATTTCCCTGGTGATAAAGCAGCCGAAGCGTGAAGCCGACGAATCACGTCCAATTAGTGCCGAGGTCGACGAAATTTGTGTCTATACATCCACCCCCACCCCCCATACGTCTTCATGGGGTGATGCTTAATTAGTTAAGTTACGTTTTTATTTTTATTATTATCCTTCCTCTTCCAGCCGCACTAGGCCCTGGGGTTTACTCATCCTCTAACAGAAATAAGTACCAGGAATTAATGAAATAATTTTCCTGAGGAGTAAAGCGCGGCTTACCGCCATCTTTGAGCCGATTGTCTAGATAATGTAGGAGCCTCGATGTCTCACAACCCTATGGGCCTTCATGGCCTGGTATAGGAATAGCTTTACTTTTTATTCTTCTTCTTGCTTCATGATCAATACATTACATCTAACTCACCATCTTCTTCCTAAGTTTATCCTTCCTTCAAGATCTCTCTGTCATTTAATTTTAGTAATTTACATAACGTTTTCAGCATTGTAGGCTATATAATGTTGAATGTTAAGATAACAGATGAATCATGAATTGGGAAGGATTTGGAAGAAAGCGGTAGTGGCCTAAATGAGGTATCCTCCCGACATTTTCCTGGAGGAACTGAGGAAAACTACGAAAAACATCAGTCAAGATATCCTATATCTCGGTCAAGATCCGAACAAGTCTAGATTGTTACCGCTAGTCCAGCCTGTATGATTTCGGTTTCGAGATACTACATTTGTTTCGAGATCCTCACAGTTATTTAAGTCCAACGTAATTTATACGTTCCTCAACATCTTTGCCTTCTTACGTCATCGTTTCTTCGAAAGAGAGATGTCTCTAGATGGCTCTAGATATTTTGACAATCCTGGATTCCATGCGACTTTTATGCTTATTCATGAACCAGAAACATCCATCCCCAGTAAAGCTACTGGCAACATGAGTAAAACAAGCGACTACAGAATAATAGATAACAGGTTAACGACCATCTCTTCGGCTTCTTTTTTTCAGGCACAGTCGAACATGAAAAGGAGCAAGCAATCAAAAAGAGCAGGTCGATCGAGAGATCGCACTACGAGAGCTCCCGCTATGTTCCCGACGAGGAAGACAACATTGTGTTCGAAGACTTCGCACGTTTACGCCTCAGTGAAGCTGAGTAACGGCCTGTCAGGGCATTCAGCTTTTGATTTCATGATGTCTTGATTTATAAGGAGAGTTTTCGCATGTGACATTAATTGGTATATGCTGTATTTCATTTCCGTGGTTACTTACTGCTACGACAATAAAACACATATATTCCGGTCGGATGAAAGTTCCCGAATACCATAAATTTTTAGCACCATTTTAATTGTTTTATGTTTCATACATAATACAACAATACCGTATTTATTATTATATGGGTTCTCAAACTATATGGCACCGCAGCCCCTTAAATGACACAAATTTTACCGACCTCCCCCAGCTCTGCCAGTCAGCGAAAAGTGAAGTTCTGCATATTGTTAAGGATTCCTATCAGGCTGTACTGTGATAGCAGGAACCTAAATAGCTTTACAGCCTCTCTACACCTACAGTAAGCTGTAAAATGTCCCTGTACCGTCACGAAGAGCGCAGTTCTGCGCACTGCTGCAGGTCTCTATCTGGCTGTACGGTGACAGCAGGAACCTAAGTAGCTTTACAGCCTCTCTACACCTACAGTAAGCTATAAAATGTTACTGCACAGTCACGAAGAGTGCAGTTCTGCGCACTGCTGCAGGTCTCTATCTGGCTGTACGGTGACAGCAGGAACTTAAATAGCTTTACAGTCTCTCTACACCTACAGTAAACTATAAAATGTTCATGTACATGCTCGAAAAATGCAGTTCTGAACATTGTTGCAGGTCCATATCAGGCTGTACGGTGACAGCAGAAACCTAAGTAGCTTTACAGCCTCTGTGCACCTACAGCAAGCTGTAAAATGTTCCTGTACAGTCACGAAATATTCGCGAAATGCTTCGCGTGAAGCACCTACCTTCATATTACTGACTTATTCACATTCCAAACCTCTGTGCGGATACAACCATATTTCCAAATTTCTGAGAAATTAATGACCCTCCCCCCTTTAGAGTACGTAACTACCTGCAGCCTGAGAAAACTTAAGTTATTATATTAATTATTCTAGAAAATATAAACGCTTTCCTTAATTTATATATCCGTCTTCAGCGTCATGTAATGAATTTGCAAGTGTGCAACAAACCTCTGGTACATCTCCGTAAAAGGAAGGGGTTATGCCGGAGGGGGAGAGGGGCTCAGTATCAAAGCTCATTAAATATTAGTTGTTTCTTTCGTTCATTCCAATATTTGGTATACTGAAGACATATGAAATTCTGGAATGTTTCTTACAACACATATAACAGTGATGTAGTAACGCGTTGTTGGTATTGTTTTAAAGACATTAGATATATGCCACATGGTGCAACAGTGTTTACAGCTAACGTTCATCCCGGTGCTAAAATGCAATAATTCTGTTCCTCCTTGGCCATGAGAATATACTAAAAATATTAGCCAAGGTTAATGCACTTGATCCTTTTTTAGATAAACGTGATATATTAAAAAATAAAGCAAAAATTGGTAAACACAACAAAAATAACATAGAAGTAAATCGGCATTGAAACAAATTACAACAATTCTGCAAGTCACATATGCAGACAAATTTAAAACAAAAAGGTGTTTGTAGAATTTGAGGAATGGTACCTCTCTCTACGAGTATATACGAGTATGTACTTTAACTGCGACTAAAATTATATACCTATCGATTGATAAATGCTAACTGGAATGGATCTAGAAGGAAGCGGTAGTAACATAATCAAGGTACTCGCCTGGAATATACCTGAAAGAACTGAGGAAATCATGAAAACATCAATCGGAATAGCTGGTGCCACGGTCTGGATTCGAACCGAGCACTTCCCGAATACAGGTCTAAGTCATTACCGCTACACCAGCTTTCTCGGCGAAGAACAAAACGAGCTCTGTTCACTTTGCTAAATTCTATTTATTTTGTATAAAAAGAAAAGGCCATAGAAATATATACCGACATGAAATTAATTTACATTTAAAAGCGAAAAAGATACGGACATAAAAATATTCGATTCAAAATTATTTTGATTAATTTTTTTTTTCAAAACACAGTAGACCTACTTAACATCTCCTCCCATTTATTGACTGTGCTTCTGCCACCTAAGAATACAACGGAAAAGTTTTTTATTGGGATACAAAAAGTACACAAAAGAAATGACCTCTCCCATTCAGCCTTCACATCAACGCAAAATTATTTTTTTATTTTGAAAAAAATATATAAAAAGGCCTAAGTAATGCCCTTCCGGCCCTCTGTAGCACAGTCTTATAAACATCTCATTTTATGATAGCGGTCGCCCTGCGATTTTTCAATATATCTCTGATCTTCAAGAGGATACCATTAATAGATTGCACATTTACTTCTTTTTTAAATACATTTAGGAATTTTGTTTACGAAGTGGCAACCTATATGTCAGTGACACCTATCGTTATTATGTGAAAACTACAGCATAATTAAAAAATAGTAAACATTATGCTAGAAGCCGGAAGGTCACGTGTTCCATTCCCGATTAGTTCACTGGATTTTTCAATTTACCCAATTCTTCCAACCAAATTGTGGCCCCGTGTCCGACTCAGCCTTTAATAGAAATGAGTACCAGGGGTAAATTGCCGCCGCTGAGGAAGGCTGACAGATTCACCGCCATCTGTGAGCCGATTGTCTAGGAATGTGAGAGACAAACCCATGGGCCTCCACGGACTGTCCAAAGGATAGTTTTACTTTTTATTTTGCTTCGAAAGTTTGGGAAATTTTGAGCAGATGGTACAAAAAGTGTCCGGTGGGGGCCTGTTTTTCTTACGGAGTAAATCGGCTGTGCTTGGGGGTACACCACTCCTGCAATTCATGCAAAATGCGAACCATTAATGAAACTGTAACACTAAGATCCTGCGAGAAGTGTACACACAATGGAACCGGCCATCACCGGTAATCAGTTGGTTCTGCCAATGTCTATTTGTCTTCAGCTGTAATTAGTTGTTTCAACAAGCTAATAATTGATTCGTCGTATACACTCCTGAGTTTCTTCAGTTACTCGTTTTATTGTGTTTAATGCAGCTCATTACATACTCTTTACTTTACTGTAATTGTTTATGTAAAAACAATAAAACGTTTCTTTGGCTGTTGGAAGAGATAGTGCTTTAAGCAACTCTCCCTTTATTTCAAATCACTTTCCCTTCCGTACATTATCTCTACTACCGTGCCCTGGCAGAAAATCTGCACTGCTATTTTAGAAATTGTTTGCATTGTTTGCGGTGGATATTTGAATGAATGACAGAATTTATAAGGGGAAAGCCTATACCAGGCCTTGCACCGCGACCTTCAGTGATTCTTTATGCATCAACCTGTTTAAACTTCTCAGCAAACCTTCGTCCTTTGTGCATCCCCCTCTGTTTCAATCCTTGAGCAAACCTTGATCCTTTGTGCGTCCGCTTCTGTTTCAACCCTTGAGCAAATCTTGATCCTTTGTGAGTCCGCCTCTGTTTCAGCCCTTGAGCAAACCTTGATCCTTTGTGCGTCCACTTCTGTTTCAACCCTTGAGCAATCCTTCGTCCTTTGTTCATCCCCCTCTGTTTCAACCCCTGAGGAAATCTTGATCCTTTGTGAGTCCACTTCTGTTTCAACCCTTGAGCAAACCTTGATCCTTTGTGCATCCGCTTCTGTTGCAACCCTTGAGCAAATCTTGATCCTTCGTGAGTCCGCTTCTGTTTCAACCCTTGAGCAAACCATGATTTTTTGTGCGTCCGCTTCTGTTTCAACGCTTGAGCAAACCTTGATCCTTTGTGCATCTGCTTTTGTTTCAACCCTTGAGCAATCCTTCGTCCTTTGTTCATCCCCCTCTGTTTCAACCCTTGAGCAAACTTTGTCCTTTGTGCATCCCCTTCTGTTTCAACCCTTGAGCAAACCTTGATCCTTTGTGTGTCCGCTTCTATTTCAACCATTCAACAAACATACACTTCCAATGAAGTGTAGTATTTTATTTACAGGAGCGTCTTGGTGGTCACCTGGTTCCGTAAGGTGATGGCGCAGGAGACGAAATCTTAATTAAGCTATGACCTCACAGTCACATAGGATGTGTGTGACTGATTCGTCTCTTTCTAGGTACATTTCGCAAATGGGACTATTCGCTAAATCCAATTTTGAAGACGTGACCTTTCAGGTGACAGTGTCCTGTGAGTAGTCCTGTCGCCCACCGTAATTGGTTCCTGAGTTTTAATAGTTCCTTGCTTTTTATGACAGAATGTCCTTGTAGGGATTCCTTTGCCTGTTCGAGTCCTGTTAAGGATTCCAAGAATTTCTGATAGTCTCTGTTTGTTCAGGTGGGCATGCGGTAGCGTAGTTCGTTAAGGCACTAAGCTAGGCCGCGCCATAGCTCAAGCGGTTAGTCGCTGGCTTCCCATCGCGGTGGCCCGGGTTCGATCCCGGTCTGGTCAAGTGGGATTTGTGGTGGGAAAAAAGTGGCGCTGGTGCGGGTTTTCTCTGAGTACTTCGGTTTCCCCTGCCAATCTTCATTCCACCAAATTTTCCATCATCATAATCACCCAGGACTGGCTACAATAGGCCAATCAGTGGCCGCCTTGCCGAGTGGACCCAGTTGGACTCCACTCACCACTAAAAAAGGCACTAAGCTACATGCCGGAAGGTCGCGGGATCGAATACCGATGAAATGGATTTTTCAATTTACCTAATCCTTCCAGCCGCACTATGGCCCTGGGGTCGACTAAGCCATTAACAGAAATAAGTATCAGATATATTCTTGGGGGTAAATGGCGGCCGGCACGTAAGAATGACAACCTTGCCGCCATCTGTGAGCCGATTATCTAGATAATGTGGGAACCTCAACATCTCACAACCCTATGGGCCTTCACGGCCTGTTATAGGGATGGCTTAACTATCTACTTTTACTGTATGTCCAGTCCCTTACAGCCTCCTTGGCAATTCTTGCTGAAGCGCCGTAAGCGGGTTCAGGTTCTACGAGTATAAGCGGAAATTAAGCTCCAGATTTTGCCAGTTGATCAGCAGTTTCATTGCTTTCAATACTCACGTGTCCCGACACCCATATCAGTTGAACTCTGCTGGGACAGTTATTTACACTTGAACTCTGTAGGTACTTGGACTCACACGCCATGTTTACGTTCTTCAGAACACAGTTCCCGTGAGGTAAGTCGCATAAAGAAAATTTTATTTCCTCATTAGAACAGCCTAAATGTGTTTAAATGTCACATATATAAAACTGCAGTATACTGCTCGAAAACACAGCTAAATTATCCTAAAAACAAAATTGCAAATACATCATTCCAACGTCTAGTGAAAAGAAAAAATATATCGTTACCACTGCTTAATTCCATCTCCCCTGAGAACGAGGGGACGTCGTCGTTTCTATAGACAATAACACAGAAAAAATAGTCCCGTGTAAATATGTATATATTTCCCACAAGCGTATGAATGGGGGAAGCACGATCCAGTAACTTTCTATCCATGACGTAATGCTCTACGTCACTGACTGATGATGACGCCTCTTTGTTCCTATAGCAGACGGACTATATTTTACTAGGAGTAGGATCTCACTGTAGTCACGACGCTAGTGGGATTCTCGTGGAGAAAACAGATTGATTTGAAAATGAACTCGTGCATGTAGAGGGAAAAATTGACAGATTTCGCGGGGCTGTATCAGTAGAAGCACCATCTTTTCTTGCATTTGTACGTACATTTGCAGTCTCGGCGGACGAGCAAAGTGACCGATGTTTGGCCACTTTGTAAATGGATTTGGAAACCTGTTATTGTTGTTATTATTATTATTGGTGTCTGACTTTATGTTGTACTTGTCCATAATCTAATTACTTGTATCTACACTCTGCTCTGCTCTGTCTGTAATTGGCCTTGCGGCTGTTGACTCGGCACATAAATAATAAAGAATTGAAGAACTGAATTACTGGCGTATGCGGTTGGTCGATGCACTATGCTACAAGCAGGAAGATCGCGTTTTTGATTCCCGATAACGTGATTAGATCTTTCAATTGACCTAACCCTTCCAGCCGCACTATGGCCCTAGAGGCGAATGAACCTCTAACAGAAATGAATACCAGGAACATTCCTGGGCGTAAAAGGCGGCCGACACGTAAGGCTGACCTCACCGCCATCTGTGAGCCGATTGTCTAGAAAATTCGGCAGCCTCGACGTCTAACAACCATGTGGGCCTCCGTGGCCTCTTACAGGTATAGCTTTATCTTTTATTACAATTCATTATTATTATTTTGTTTGTCTGCATTATTCATTTATGTTAATGATATTATTATTATTATTATTATTATTATTATTATTACTGTTTGTTTGTTTACTTGTCTGCATTATTGTGTTCTCCTCCAGTACTTGCCTGTAATTTGTCTTTGACTTTATGTTGCTATAATGTAATTAATTGTATCTACCCTGTGCTCTGTCTGTAATTGGCCTTGCGCCTGTTGACTCGGTACACAAATAATAAAGAATTGAATTGAATTATTATTATCCGTCACCTCTTTCAAAAGAATCTAACTGGTAGAACTGGATGAAATATATGTCTTAATAGCTTACAAGTGTACATGCGCAGATCCAACCATAATTATAGACAATCTGAGGTGTGTTGAACTTGTTAGATCTATACACTGAGTCATATAACAATTTATTACAGACCCACATTAACTCCATTACAACAGACTGATAAAGGTCGAAAAATCTGAAGAGAACAGCCGTTTGTGGGACAGAAGAATTACATTAAAATGAGTACTAGGCAAAATACAGGGGAGGGTGTAAACTGAAATCATCTGACCCAGGACTGCATTCAGTGAAGATCTATTGTTAATGTGATACCTACGCAACTATCAGCTTCTCAACAAAGACACTTTATAAGAGGGTTAACGAAATTAAATTTGAGCGTCAAGTGACGAAATACGGGCTATAGGCCGCCTATAAAAATTAGAATTGAATGAATACATCAGTTTTAAATATTGACCCTCCCAATAACAAATTCAACCTACAGTCGTTAACTGTTTCAAAGTTATCAACGAGGTATATCGCTGAATTTATTTCGTGTCTTGGAAAATTACAGCCCTATTATTCTTCAACAATTAAAGCCAATCCCGTAGGTTTCCTGTACCCCACCGTGTACTGAACACAGAATTCCCACATGCGTTACTGGGGACATGCGGTAGCGTAGTTGGTTGAGCACTATGAACAAGCCGGAAGGTCATGGGGATCGAATCCCGATGAGGTGGATTTTTTTTTCAATTGACCTAATCCTTCCAGCCGCACTATGGCCCTGGGGTCGACTCAGCCTCTAACAGAAATGAGTACCAGGAATATTCCTGAGGGTAAAGAGCGGCCGGCGCGTAAGGCTGACAACTTTACCGCCATCTGTGAGCCGATTGTCTAGAAAATGTGGTAGCCTCGACCTCTTACAACCCTATGGGCCTCTACGGCTGTTACAGGGATAGCTTTACCCTGTCTACCTACATGCTGTACTGTGTCGTATATTGAATTCGCCTCTGTGGTCTAGTGGTCAGAGTTCCTGGCTACAGATCCAGAGGTCCGTGTTTGATTCCCTAAGCTACCACATTTTATGAGAAGTAGTGGGTTTGGAACGAGGTCCACTCAGCCTCGTGAGGATAATTGAGGAGATATTTCAAGGAAATAGCGGCTCCGGTCCAGAAAACTGAGATTAACGGTTGTTGAGGATCCGTTGCGCTGACCACGCGACACCCTCTATGGGCAAAAGTTGGTACTAACTTTGCCGACAAGCGGCGGTCGCACGGTGGGTATAGTTCGCTCGCGGACTACAGGCCACGGGGTTTTTTTTTTTTGTTTCCATGGTGTATAGTAGCCGGGATTATTATGGTGACGCAGACATATTGTTTTATTGCTGCTGGAAGAAGTTCGAATATTTATTTCCATTCTTCTAATCCCATTAATAAAATTTTGTATCTTCAGACGTCTGTATTTAAACACAGTGACAGAACATTTCCCTATGGGCGATATTCCGTGGTTGTTACCTTATTTACTAAATGAAGCAGTTCATAAATGTCACACCAATACGGAAATTTACTACGTATTTTAAACATTTTCCAGTGGAAGAATTTCA